ACTAGATAAATTATCAATTTAATGTCAATAATGTCAAAAATTAAATTATCACTCACTTAAAGTTTTTATTAGTTAAAAATAATGAGACATTTAATACGAAATAGATTATACGTAAAAACATTTGTGTAAAATTTTTCTACTAATTATAAATAAAAATGAAATGCAAATTCTACTGGAATGTATGCAAAGTTAAGCAGTTTAAAAACGCATATGGTATTCTCCGAAAAAAGCTGTGTATTACTGCACAGTTTGGTGCACAACACATTACAATGCACAGGGTGTCGTAAACATTTTCTTATATTTTCTTAGTAAAATTAAAATTTCTTTAGTAATTTTACAACTGTTTTTTTAATTGAAAACCTTAACTAAGTATCCTCTTTCTTAGCAATTGTTTTTCAAGTTTTTATATTAAATATTTTGTTACAACATAGATGCACATAAAGACGCGTGCGCGTACACATAGCGCGCACATTGTTAAAGTCTACTTCATTAATTAAAGAAAGAAGAAGCTTGTAAATTATCTACCCGTACTTTTGAGATTTAATTCGCAAAGTGTATTTTACGTAAATAGTTTTGAACTTGAAAATTGTTGACAATTTATAATTAAAAGTAATATCAAGTTAAATTTCCAATGTTCAGAAAGGTACGGAATAATTGGGACATCCTATATATACATATATATATATATATACACACACATACATATATCGCACTGAAGGGAACACAGTACGGTTTTTGGTGCCTGGCTGTCTGCTTCCGTACGACAAATCACAATCTGATTAATTGACCGAACCATTCAGCTTGCTGGTTAAATGTTGTTCATTAGGCGAAAAACGTGATTCTAGGCAATCTCCGTGCAAGTTATCTCAGAACGAGAGAGACTTTTTTTATGAGATTCAAAAATATGCTAAGTAGCTGTAAAACTTAGGAAACGCCCAGCAAGGAGAACAAAGTTTCATCCAGGTATTAAAGAAATAAGAGGCATTCATTCTCTAGTTCTTTTCTTTGAATCCGAAGATAGATGAGTAATGACGACAGCGACAAATAATTATTTAAATTTTGCGAATCATAGAATTGGTACACGTATCGTTCGTATGGACCTCAAATCGTTCTCAGCGAAATTTGGGCTAAAGTATGAAAGTGTATATTTCTGCGAAATATTTTCTTTAACTTATTAGATGTGACTCTAAAAATATCATAACAATTACATACGACAATTGTATACTTTTATAACTCCTTCTAAATATAAAAAAATAAAATTGTGATAAATTAAATTTAAATTGCAAACGTGATATCAAACAGTGATATATTTTAATTTATTATATACATATATATTTATTATTTTTTATTAGAAAAACAACTTAATTGTTAATTCGGATTCCGTGCTTCGCAAGACCATATATTATAACTCATACATAGCTCTTTCTGTTTTTCAGACATTTGCGGGTGTTTATGTAAGTTCGTTACCTGAAGAGGACCAATATTACTGGCTGAAACGTTGTAAATTTTATAAGAAAATAAATAAGTGCCAGTAACGTCGTTTCCACACGACTTAATTTTGTTATTTTTTAAATTCTCGACTGGCGTTAATATATCTGCTGTTGGATTATTGTGATAATGTTTAGATTGCAATTAATTATTCGCATTGCGAGATGTACATGATTTTCGTTCATTATATTGTATATGATTCTATATCATTTGCATGTGTACTGCATGTATCGTCTTTTGCCAAAAAGAAACAAAGTTAAACAGAAAGTAGGTATACAAACTTATAGTATTTCGCGCGACGGACGGTCAATTGCGTATAACGTAAGTGTGAAATTCTGAATCTCTGATCAGAAGCGGCTCTGTTTCACGACAATGAAAATAATATCTTTTGATTCTTTTTGTGATTTTACTCGGTGGACATTTTCAATTTAAATATATGTATAAAACGCGACCGGATATGGCTATTCTCAGAAATCATGCGGATAAAGAAGCTTGCAATAGCTGTTATTCGTGTGAACGTAAGTCTAAACCTGTTCAGATGGGAAAAAGTGACTGGAAATAAATCGCCGAAATAAAACTATTGCAACTATAATGTCGCCAAAGAGAGAAATCGATTTATACGATGACGGATTTCTTGTTCACGTCAAACAAACAACGAGATTAATCTTCGCTTTTTTTTACAGCAAGAGCAAAAATAAAGAAAGAACATGAAATAAGTGTAACAATTGCCAAAAGAGTGTATATAGCAAAGACAAATTATTAAAAACACTTTTGCAATTAGCATTAATCAGATATTGGAATAAAACATTGTTAGCAAATAAAAGCATAAAATAAAATGTGAATTTTTAATATATTATAAGAGAGGGAGAGAGAGAGAGAGGGATAGCTCCATAAAAAGCCTAATTATTAAACAACAGACTAATTCCATGGATGATAAATGTTAATCTCTACGACAGAACAAAAGAGTCTGTATTTACTTATTGTAAATAAGTGGCTAAAATTTGCGTATACTCGACATGCTTAGAAAAATATTTTAAAATACTAAATATATTAGAAGCATAAGAGATTCGTATAAAATGCGAAATACGCTTTTATTTTATATTTCTACTTAAAAAACTAAATGTATTTGAAAATAAAATTGATTGTGTCATTGATTAGTCAACTTTCTTGGTTCTAATGATTTTCAACAAGAAATGTATTGTATAATTACTTATGCATTTCAATCTGTTTTCTGTTGTTGCAAATATGTTCCAAATTAACAGATTGTTTAAAATAGACTTAAAACGTGTATTGTTCAAATTATAATATAATACATACAACAAACAAATATATTCATTGTTAATAGCATGTAAATGCAAATCCTGAAAACTTTTATGCATGAAAATATTTTTGGATACGTAGTTTTGTTGAATTTTCGTCCAATTGCCATAACAAATCCTTTAAGAAGAAAAGTAGAGTATGCTTAAAGAATCAGGAAGAAAAGAAGTAGATTTTAGTGATGACGTGGTTACTCTGTTCCTAGTTTACTCTGTAAATCTACCAAGAGATAGAAGCGAATGTGTGGAAACGGAGTGAAGAACTACTCGTATATATTATTATATTCATAGTAATCAGCACAAGAGGAATATTTGGACTTTTCTCGACAATGCGATTAATTTTAATAAATTCAAAAAATGAATTTCTCGCATCGTTCGCATGTTATTGATTTTGCTAACCTAGTAATTGTTTTGTTAAAAAAATACATTTTTCCAACCCGGGGTCTAATGATTCAGACGATCTACGCATAAATGCGTCTTTTAGATGTCGAGATTAATAATAGAGTCACTGTTTACTGCTCGGCGTGCTTTCTAGATCAAAAATAAATTAGACTGACTTAAAATTACTTGTAATGTCTCCTCTCTTTCTCTCTCTCTCTCTCTCTCTCTCTACAATAGATTTTTCAATTTTGATAGATTGCTTCACACAAGTGTTTCTTTTTAATTTAAGCGCAAGTTAGCTGGCTAAACGAGCAATAGACAACTACGAGTTAAGTTTCAGAGAAATTTCTATTAACTTCTTTGGAACTTTACAGGGATTTCGATCTATTGTTGCAAAAGCACGCGACAAAAAGTCACGAAAGACGTAATCCGATGAAAAACAAGTTGAATTAAATGTTTGGAAACCGATAATCAAAGTTGTACAGCAATTCGTGCTGAACTTAATTAATTAAAGTCTCTCTCTCTCTCTGCGAGTTTTATTTATTATGAAGGGTTTATTTAATGTGATTGACTTATCATTCTAAACTTGCATTTATCATTACAATACGTTCTGTTTCATATTGCAACGTTATTTGTTTGTTCTTGAAATAAAAATTTATTAACATATTTTTGTTAAATTCCAATATTTTAAGATGTATCACTCTTTTCTGAAAAAACTCGATAATATTAATGCACTCTCGATAAAACTAATGTATGTACATAAATTAAAAATGTATTAGCGTGTAGTTAGTGTTGGATTTGTAATCTTTATCATTGGAAAGACAAGTGAGACTAGAAAGAAAAGGGGGAGAGATTGCAGTCTAAGTAGATATATAAGTGAATATATACATACATATATATTATAGAAATTATATAAATAAATGAACATTTTTAAATCTATTTTTATAATACTGAAAAAAGTATAATAAAATAAAAGTTTTCTAAAAGACATTCGTAGTTTAAAGGACCTGTGATAATATGAAATAAAAGAAGCATATACCTATTGCTTATTAAGAATCAAGATTGCGATAGATAATCGAGAAGTAAATTAACATAGAGCACATATCGCGTGTTGAAAAATATATGTCACCAAAATATTGCTAGGAATATACCATATATGTATATGTACGTTCTACGTTCTTGTTCCAAGTTTGCATTAATAATGGAGAATTGAAATTTTCCATTTATTTGGAAAGTTCAATCGAGAACAGCCGACGACAGAGTATTCGGCGTAAAAACCGTTCGACTTTATGGATTTTAAACGAAATGATAAAATTAACTATAGTGGGCAGTTTTTCGAATCACCGAATCCGCATTTTAACCTTGAGCTCGTATGTACTAAATCAAAGTTACTCTGTTCCCGCGTATTGAGCAGCACTCCCCAGTCCCCACTAGACCAACTGGTTCATTAACAATTACATGGACATAGTATGGCACAGGTAGTGCGATATATAAAGTCAGGAGGAATCGGTGTGGCTGGCTATTAGTTTGGCTCGTTCTACCGACCGGTTTGCGGACGGTTCCAACTTCCTATACGTCAATATCTCCGGACAGTCGCGACAGTCGCGTAAAATAGTCGATTTAATCGACTGATTGGTCCAACGCGTGCCGAAGTGAACGACTTGGCGTCGCGCTTCTACGGTTCACCTGACATCGAGATTTAAAGGAGACTAATTCTTGATTGCCAACATCACTACGAGTTCGCCTCCACAATTCGTCTTGTCTTTTCAAGCTGGTGAAATTCCTTGTCTGTCACTGCGATGATTGCCGAAAGAAACTTTGGCCTTCCACTAATGATTGTCACCTGTCTGCTGATCAATTTTTGTCAAACATCGTGCAGTGGAAAGACCATGTTAAGTGAGTATGATGTCTCAACAATTTTTTTATATTAATCAACATAATACAAAGGTTTCACATCAATTGGTGAGTAGCATATAAGAACGTCCCATGCTTTATTGTCAACGAGTAGACAATAATTTTAGTTGATTTGTTTTTTTTTGGTGAAAACTTTGAGAAAAGGGGTAAATTTTTCAAATTTTAGCGTTCGGTAATCAAGTCTCGAAAGTTTTATTAAAAATTGTATAACACGTATAAAGCTCAACTGAAGAAACAAGTAGATTTTGTCAACTTTGCGATGAGACAATGCTTTGGGAGAATATACAAACCTGCACAGACTTTTCGTTAAAATTATTAAAATCTCTACTCTTGTAAATAAAAGTCATTTCCACTAGTATTAGATGTAGTAAGATGTATAAGATGTAAGTGAGACTAAAAAGAAAAAGAGGAGAGATTGTAGTCTAACAATAAGTAGATATGGTCGATCGAGAGCTATTTATTTATTGTAGTATACCACAAGTTCTTTCCCACGAAATTCATTTAACTACAAGCTACACGATGAAATGGAGTCAGCAGGTGTCGGCCAAATTGCATCGTTACGCTCGGTACCAAGCCCATCTCATTTCCGGCACAAAAAGAAACTGACGTTTCCAGTCATAGCGAGACAGCCATCAGCCAAATACGGATGTCACTCGAGTGTGTTTCGCCTTTTCAATGAATGCTAAACGAGCGAATGATACACGGCACGTCGCGTCGCGTCGTTTCGAATGATGATTAATTGGCGTGCACCGAAAAGGGACTCGCGACTGCTCCCTTCTCGTCGTCGCCAACAGTGTCGTTTCGTGATCTCTTTTCTGTTCATCATCTAACTGTTACATTATCTAACTGTCAACAGAACAGAAACATAAAGAGAAATTTATTAAATTGTTGTTTATATGTTTTTCTTCTTTTTAATTCATGTAATTAAATTAAATTATATTCTCAATGTAATTACATCTACATAACATCCTCTTCTTAATGCAATTGTATTTTCAAAGCCTTCCCATCGATCCATTTGTGTTAAAAATGATTAGGTTTTCATTCGCGTTCGGAATAAATTAAAACAGTAGATAATGAAATTAAGAGAGACTGAGAAATTCATATTACAGTTGACTATCCACAGTAGCACTGTACGGTGAATGTTTAGAACTTTAAGGATCATCTACGATACACGAAGTAAGTACGACGTAACAAGTAAGAGTCATTTATATTTTTTATTCCTGTATTTTAGCTTTTACACTGAAAGGTAAAAAAAAGTTACGGAATTCTCGGCGTAGCTTACGGCTGCTTAAGAGAATTTAACCCATAAGGGCCGCAGCACACGGAGAAACCAACCGACAGAGAACCTACTCGATCAAAAGATAGAAATCAATTTCAGGAATAAATTAGCAGATATTTCTTGGCGTGCAGAAATTATTTGACATTTGTATTCGGTAGAATATTTTTAAGTCTAAAATAAATGTCGACGACTGCCGTAAATTCAAATCACCGATCATTATCGAGAGTGCCTTGAGTACAAGATAAATTAATTTCTGAGAAATTTCTGTGTTTTTAATGTCGACGCAAACTGATTTGGGAATAGTTAAGAATCTATCGTGTGTATATAACTGTAAAGTGTAGAGGTTCTCAATTTAATATTTTATCGACAAAATATTGTATCAATGCATGAAAACTGTCAAATAAATTTGCAAAAATTTGGAGTAGATTTGCAATGATTAATTGACAAATTAATACAATATAAAATGTCATATTCCTCTTGTACTTGTTGGTCAGGAACAAGTTTTTTAAGTATGCTCGAGTGTAACGTAAACCTCTCCTCTTGGATTCACTGCGATGTATGTACAACGAGCGAACTCCGTGAGAAGTAAAGCCGACGGCGGATCCAGAAAGAATTACCAAGACCACTCAGGGATGAGCGCAAATCTCGTAAGATAAATTGCACGTACTATTTATCTTATTAGGATGCGACGGCTGTGATCGCAGACGATCTGAGCGATCTTCCGTGTATGACGAAAGGTGATGACGACAATCAACTCGCGCGATCATATTACCGATGCAAAACTTGTACGACCGTGGTACTTGGTCCAGTTCGCAAAGGCTATGCAATTACCTACTCATCTTTCTCGTTCTTCTCCCTGTCATCATACCGTTGCTGTGGCGCACCTGCGGAGAAAAGTGATTAAACTCGTAACGAAATTGGAATATTCTGATAATGAGTATAGTATCTTTACGTTAGCATTCTAACGCTATAAAACCCAAAAGTGCTCGTTTTTACCCTCGTAATTCGCAGTGAATACTCATTGTTTCACGGAGTGAAGTTCGATACGTTGGAATTATACTCATTTCAATTTCGCGCGTTTTTGGGAAGCATAAGTGGACGCGAGCTTCGCTTTTTGGTCATGGGTCCGCGCTGCCGTCGTGGGTCCGTAGTGGGGAGCAGGGAGCCCGAGCCGCCGATTTTCTAATAAAAGGAGGCAACGAGCGTGATGAGGTCTCTCTT